AGTTTTTTTTAAAAAGATTTTATTGGGGGGCTCCTACAATTCTTATCACCATCCATCCACCCATTGTGTCAAGCACATTTGTTGCCATCATCATTCTCAAAACATTTTCTTTCTACTTTAGCCTCATTTCTCCCCCCTCCCCCACCCCCGCTCTCTCACGGACCCTTGATAATTTATAAATTACTATTTTTTCATGTCTTATACTGTCCGATGTCTCCCTTCACCCACTTTTCTGTTCTCCGTCCCCCCAGGGAGGGGGTTATATGTAGATCATTGTGAAAGGTTCCCTCCCACCTTCCCTCCACCCTCCCAGTATTGCCACTCTCACCACTGGTCCTGAGGAGTTCATCTATCCTGGACTCCCTGTGCTTCCAGTTCCTATCTGTACATCCTCTGGTCTAGCCATATTTGTAAGGTAGAATTGGGATGATGATAGTGGGGGGAGGAACCAGTTAAGAACTAGAGGAATATTGTATGTTCCATCATTGCTACACTGTACTCTGACTAGATCCATCTCCTCCCCACGACCCTTCTGTAAGAGGTTGTCCAGTTGCCTACAGATGAGCTTTGGGTCTTCACTCCACATTCCCCCTCATTTACAATGATACAATTTTTTGTTCTTTGATGCTTGATACCTGATCCCTTCAACACCTCGTGGTCACACAGGCTGGTGTGCTTCTTCCATGTGGGCTTTGTTGCTTCTCAGCTAGATGGCCGCTTGTTTATTTTCAAGCCTTTGAGACCCCAGATGCTATAGCTTTTGATAGCCGGGTACCCTCAGTTTTCTTCACCACATTTGCTTATGTACCCACTTTGTCTTCAGCAATCATGTCGGGAAGGTGAGCATCATGGAATGCCAGTTTAATAGAACAAAGTGTTCTTTCCTTGAGGGAATACTTGAGTGGAGGCCCAATGTCCACCTGCTACCTTAATACTAAACATAAATATATAGGGAGGTATTTTTATAAAAGTTCTATGCAGTTGTTTTTTTTAAAAATGTAAACATATTTTTAAAATGGTAGACAGCGCTCTTCAGAAAATGCCTCCTGGGTTGGGGAAGGGAGTGGTTGGCAAACCAACTTAGAAGGCTCATGACATTTACATAAAAATCCAGTAAACATATTTCTCTCGGGTTTTCATGACCCATAAGGGCAAAAGGTCAAGTTGTCTGACCATTTATTAAGAGACTAATTCTTGCTGCTAACAGGGTACACATTTCCAAAAAGCAACCAATTGAAGTGCAACAGAAAAGCCCTGAAGTCTCGTGGCACAGTGGTTAAAGCTCTGGTCTGTTTGACCGGGCAGCCATCAGCCACTCCGCAGGAGAAAGATATGCCAGTCTGCTTCCATGAAGGTTTACGGCCTTGGAAACCCAAGAGACATTTCTACTCTGCTCTGCTATGAGCCACTATTGACTTGGCAGGCATGGGTTTTACAGGCAGAAGACTATTTGAAATGTTGGAACTTGTGTAGAAGATGAACATTTGAACTGGAGTGGGACCTGGATTCCACTCTTGGTTCTGTCATTATTGTCTGCAGAATGATGGGGGTTTTGCTTCTGAAATTCTTGGCATGTATAATCTCTTGCCCCATGTCCCCCGCAATTAAAATGTAAGCTCACCCAAAGCAGTGTTGTCTGCATTGTCTAGTGTACATCCCAGCATGGTTGCTGGTACCTTGTATGGGTTCAGAGAGTACTGGTTGCTGTGGGACAATTCAGGATGTACATTACCCATTAAAATGGCTCACACACTTATGGTACCTTAACTTTTTTACAGTGTGCTTTCACAAAATGCCAGGCACCCAGTGCTCACTGGTCACAAATATCTATTTGGCTCTCAGGTGCAAACACTTACTGATACAGAAATATAGACACGAGAAGCCTCAAAGCTCATGGCCATTGAATGGATTTCGACTCACAGTGACCCAATAGGACAGGGTAAAACTGTCCTTGTGGATTTCCTAGACTGTTACTCTTTACGGGAGGAGAAAGCCTTGTCCTTTTCCACTGGAGCAGCTGGTGGATTTGAACTAATGAACTTTCAAGTTAACAGCCCAACCTGTAACAACTATGCCACCAGGGCTCGGTGGACTGAAAAAAGACTGGCTTAGGAGCCAGAAGACTTGGTCCACCATTCACGGTGTGGCTTTGGGCAAGTCATTCCATACCCTCAAGGTTCTATTTCTTATCTGCAAGGAGAGAGGGCTGAAGTAGACCCCAAGGTCCCTTCTGGTAGCCTTGGATTCTGGCCCTGCTGTGGTTAAGTAGTCAGCTACTAATGAGAGATTGGCAGTTTGGAACCCACATGTGGTTCTGCAGGAGAAAGACATGTCTGCTTCCATAGAGATGAAAGCTTTGGAAACCCTATGGGGCAGTTCTACTCTGTCTATAGGGTCGTTGTGAGTTGGAATCAACTGAATGGCACTGAGTTGGGCTTGGGTAGGTTTGGGCATAAAGGACAGAAGACTCTGTGGGGGAGATAAAGGGCTGCAGGAGGCATGGAGACGGACATTGGTGTAGAGGTAGGGGCTCGTTAGGAACATCAGTAAAGGTAGACTGGGCTTTTTATGTTCACCACTTAAAATCCTTTATGAGCATCAATGGGGTGACTCTGTCTTTGCTGTTCTTTGTTCATCAAAGCAGGTCACTGACCTCCCCACATCCGCCAGACTAGCCATGCTACCACTGTGGAGAAAGCTAGCTTGCTTGCAAGTTCATAGAGCAGTCCATGCTATTTAAAGTGTACAGTTGTGGGGGTCCTGAGGATCCTACTATAACACTTATAAAAAATTCTAGGTAAATCAAACCATTGTTAGTTGCCACCTAGTCGATTTTGACTCCAGGTGACTGATTGCCTTGCCGAGTAGAATTGCTTCCCAAGGTTTTCTTGGCTATCATCTTAAGGGAAGCAGGTGGTCAGGCCTTTGCCTCTCTAGTATTCTAGGGGAGGGTTAAACCACCAAACTTTAGGTTAGAGGTTAAGTGCAAATCATTTGTGCCACTCAGAGACCTTCAATCATGCTTAGGGAGCCTTCTTTAAAAATGGTCTAGAGATGGAAAAGAGATCTATGTGCATATATATTTATAGGTTTAGTATTAAGGTAGCAGATGGACATTGGGCCTCTACTCATTTTTTTCTTCTTCTCTTTTTTAACATTTTATTAGGGGCTCACACAACTGTTATCCCAATCCACACACACATCAACTGTGTAAAACGCATTTGTACAACGTTTCTCAAAACATTTTCTCTCCATTTAAACCCCCGACATTAGGTCCTCATTTTTTCCCTCCCTCTCCTCTCCCCCCTCCCGCATGAACCCTTGATAGTTTATAAATGGGTATTTTGTCATATCTTGCCCTGTCCGACGTCTCCCTTCATCCACTTTTCGGTTGTCTGTCCCCCAGGGA